TTTCACAGTGGCTATTAACGAATAGCTCTGAAGCTCTCTTCAAAGCTACTAACAGAAGAGGCTACATTGAAAATGTCAATATTATAATACCAGGTGATATTCATCACACTTTTCATTAATCCAGATTGTATGATACTTGTTTCTTTTCATTCTAGAAAATTGGACATCGATTAGTTCTACGAAAGTTACTAATCAAATACCTGTAGAAAGCATTATTGTGACTGAAAAACCCAATGCTCAATACGGACATAATCCATACGTGCTAAATTTGGAAGAATGCGGTGAACCTGGTGAATACATACACTTTACTCGCAAATTCCTAGTAGGAGATAAAAGTACCTTTGGAAAACCACAAGCGTTTATGCTTCATTTATTTGGTCATCTTTTATATGGTCTTCGAGATGAATTCGGAAATGCTTTCGATCATCAGAGGCATATTATGTTAATGCTGGAAACAAAGTTGAGGCAATCAGGTACCGATTACTAAATAACTATAGTGATTGTGTAAAAAGTTAAATATGAAATATGAAAAACAGATGTAGCAAGAGTATTCTAGTTGAAACGATTGATAGTAAAGGCAAAGAGTGTCAAGTGACAGATAAATGTCTAAAAGTTCCAGAAAACTGCAAACTTAAGATAAAGGCAGATGATTCGGCAAGCGCGATGTATTATCCATTTAGTGGGGTTTGTATTACTCTTTATCGTATAAGTATCACACTAATTTTAATGAAAATAGGCTACGAAATTTTGTGATGATTCTGAAGACATTCCAGAAAATGAAAGACATAATTCAGATGCTCCAACACCTCAAAACTATTTCTGTGATGGAAAAAGTGCTTGGGAGGTTTTGAGGGAATCGGATGATTTTAGAAACGGCAACAATCCACCAATTGCTCAACAAGGAAATATCAATTTGAGGCCAAATTTCCATTTTTACCGAGAAACTTCAGACACCCTAAATATTGTACTGGTTCTTGATGTTTCAGGCAGTATGGATAAAATACCAGATGGGGGCGTAAATCCCCTACGACAGATTGTATATTCAGCCTGCATCGAGTACATAACTGATTATGTCGTTCCTGGTGATCGCATTGGTATTGTACGATTTAATAATCGCCACAGAGTCTTACAGAGTTTAATAACTGTAACAAGTGCGAATAAACCAGGAATCCTAGAGAAGGTTCCTAATTATGCCTCTGGTGGAACTTCCATCATGTATGGAGTAAAAGGCGGAGTAGAGACTTTACGTGATGCTGCTCGGGGAGGTATTTTAATACTCATGACAGATGGAGAATCCGACGATGACGACTTACAACGAGCGAAAGAAATTGCCTACGATTCAGGCGTCACTGTTTACAGCATCATGTTAACAAGACATGCAACTCCTTTTCTAAAGGCTATAGCAGATGCAACAGGTGGACAAACGTTTTTTACAACTGCACAAACAGTATCCAATAATGAACAATCAGTTTCCGAAGTTTTACGTAGCATTGGAAATATTCAAGAAGGTCTTCGCTCAAGAAAAAATTCAAATAGTCAGAAAG